TCGCACTTATTTAAACCTAAAACATAATTATTTAAGACAAGAAGACTTATTTTTAAAGTGGTACGTTGCAAGAGAGGAGGCCGTAGACTAATACGCTTTCCTCTCCTAAAATAAGGTCTCTAACTTATTTATTTCGATGAGGTTTTTTTCTTGATTTCCTTCTGGAGTTGTCTTCGGTGTTGAAGACATGTTTAGTTATTGGTATTTATTTTCTCCGTGGCCACCAAAGCTACGGCTGTTCTCACCGTTTGGTGGTTGAGGTTTCTCCAATTCATGTAAATAAAAACTTTTAGGTAAACTTCCGCGGACGAGGGTAGAGGAAGATATTAGGGTTAGGACTCAGAAAGGATCTCTTATCTTGTGAGGGCCTAGTAAAACTAATGCAAAGAAATAATTTAAAATAGTTTAAAAAAATTTAGAAATTTTAGTGTGAATTTATTCAACTTAATTTATTTTTGATAAGATCGTCGCCCGAAGGAATTCTAACTTAGTGAGTATCTAGAACAAATTACATATTGCAAAATAAATGAATGGTTTTCTTCCAAACGAAAGTGACCAACATCATCACGATATATTATATTTCCTTACAGAAGATATTTTTACCACGTCTGGAAAAATCTCCGCCTTCTCTATATTGATCTAATTTCAATATTTCTGCACGTCGACAAACACTGAAAGTCGCAGTCTGTGCATGTCTAGATAGTTTAAGCTTCATCTCCATTTTTTTTCTTGTGAATCTTATTCACCTTGAAATAAGCTAAATCTCCTCCTTCCTTTCGTCACCTCTTGTCTCTTTTTAGTTTGTCCATTTTGAAAAACTATTAAATATTGGGTTTCTACTAGTAAAGACAATTTTTTAAGATATAAACGGAAAATCAGTATTTCATGACGTAGAAATAATTGCACAATCTCAAGCTTCGACTTAAAATCCCCAACCGTATGCAGGAAGATAAAGAACGCAAATTCATACAAATTCGAAAAGCAAAACAACCTTTTCTATTCTACTCTGGAAGGAAATAATAATAATCATTGATTTGTGTTGCGCAAATATCAATCCAAAAAGAGAAATTTTCATCTGCGGAAAAGAAGCCTCCGGGGTTTTGTTGGTATTACTTTACATCTAAGGTGAACAGACCCGCTGGAGTCGTTCGATGATTAATTGTCCTTTTTGTAAAGCGCAACTCCATTTCCAGCACAAATTGGCATTCATAAGTCAAGTTCCGGTCGATAATCCAAATTTGAATCGGATGGTTCATTTTCGGTAAATTCGACTACATCAAGAGAAGCTAAATTATTCCATCTTTTAGATAAAGTATCATTTTAGGATTTCAGTTTAATTTAGATAAAGAAAATATATCAAAACTACGAAGTTGCGAACTTCGAAGTAAGGTCATTCGTCAAACAAAGAAAGAACTTTACAATGTTATGATATCTTTAATTGGTTTCTCTTTTAAATGGATTTCATTTGCGTCATTACTCATATTCATTAAAATCTAGAGACTTAACGTTTAAGGATAATTTCACTCTTTTTTTATAAAAACGTGTTTAATGTTCCTTATTCCTTTATTTTTTAATTTTTTGCGGTAAGAAAACGTTCTCAACATGTTCTTAAGGTTTAGTGCATCGTGCAGTAAGAGAACCGTATTATTAAAGCTGAAAAAGTGTCCCTTATTGTTTGAATTAATTGGCCTGTTAAACCACATAGTTTTACATTTCATTTAACCTTTATTTTCTACTTCTCGAAAATAAAAATGATGAAAATAAAGACGTTCTTAAAAGACCTGGATATGTTCTTAAACTTTTGGTTAATCTCAACCTAAACGATCTTGTAAAAGAAAGATTCTTATGAAAAAAGAAAAAACAGATTGTGCTGTACAGGCAACGTATTTTGCCCTGCGAAGGAAAGGCTCGTAGAATAATTCCTTCACCAGAAAAAAAAAATTAATAAAAAGGATAAAAGGTAGAAGTAAGAAAGTTAGTTTTAATCTTTTACTTCCTCTTGTTACAAAAAAAGATAGAAGTTTACATGCTTATTTGATTTAGCGGTATTCCTAACTTTCTGTGCGATGTTTTCCACGTAAAAATCACCAGCTGTAAGGACTATTTTGTCGTTTTAGAAGAGGACGGCGTTTTGACCATTTCACAATGTTTCCAAAGAGCAAAATCTATGTTTGAAAGAAGGTTGATGTCCTTAAAATACTTCCTGTCATAACTATGAATATTATTATCGGAGTTTACTTCATACCCTAGTCTCATCATTTTGGCGAACATGTTTACGTGGGTCCTCGATTTATTTCAGTGACACCGACTAACACACGCGAGTGCACAACTTGTCTTCTCACGCGCGCGCACGTGTTTTTACCGAGCGCACACGAGAGAGCAGACCGAAGTTGTGTGCACCAACAGCCCGCCTTTCAGAATGCTTTTAAACTTGAATTGTTTACACGAGTTTCTAAGACGTGCAAAAAAAAGGCTTAGACAAAAAACGTCGCGTCGGGCTATAAACGGATTGAAAGATAAATTTCACCTTTCCAAGTTCACACAAATACCCTTTAAAATTTACACCCTTGAAAACGTTTAAGGTGACACCACCATGACTAAGCCTTCCCGACTCCTTACCGCCTCAGTTTTTCGTCGTTCATCTAAAAAAGGTTTTCAAACAAGCAGTAATTCTGGAAAAACCTCAAATACAGAGAGATTGACCTTGCGATTGTCTGTTTTAGGA